TATTTATATAATTATATATAAATATAAATGTAACATAAATATTTATATAATTTTTAATTTAGATATTTATATATAATTTATATATTTATATATTTATAAATATATAAGTTATAATTATCTTTAAATATCTTTATATATTTATATTATCTTTATATATTTTAACATATACATATCTTTATATTTATATTTAAATATATACATATTTAAAGGTCTCCCATTTATTGAGTGCTTCCTATGTGTAAGCAGTTTGTGTATTATCTCATCTAACTCTCACAATGGAGAGAGAAACTGAGGCACAGGGATATTAAATAACTTGACCCATAAGTGCAGTAGCCACACAATAGTAAAGTCAGTATACTCTGTTCCACCTGATTTCTTAATCTGTGCCCTTAATCATCGTCTCCTTATATCAAGAAACACTGTTTAAAAATTCATCTCTTTCTTGGCAGGATATTTTACTTCAAAGTTATGTCAGCTATGCAAATTAACATAGTACTATTACCTTGAGGAATTATAAAGATTGTCCTAATTTTCAAAAGTAAAATACACCCTAACTTCCCTACAGATGCTTTCAGCTGTCAGACACATTTCTTCTTTTCCTTCTTGACATTATGATCACTTTAGTATAGAGCGGTATGTCCCAAATTGTGTTCCTTGAAACATTCTACAAAAATTTTTTTCCAGCTTTCTTATAGACTGGAGTGGTCAATGAGCCAAGATACCCAATGTAGATAAACTCATTGGGTAACTTCTAGAAAAGACCCTAGAGAGAACACCCTGAGTTTAAGCTTGGAGGCCTTATATTAAGGATGACAGAGCAAAAACAAAAGAAATCTGGTTTTGAAGACTTCATGGTGTTTCCACACAAACCTGCTTATCTTCAAATGACTTTAATGTGACAGAATAAGTGTTTTAACATACTGGAGCAACCTCTCTTCAGCAGCTAAATGCATTTCCTAATAGATACATATACCAACATGGATTATGCATCTCAAAAAGGCAGACACAGAATGCAGCATTTCTCAAACCTATTTAATCATAAAACCCCCATTTGGAGGCAAGATCAATGATGAATATTTTGTCGCATATGTATAGTCCCCAAAAAGTAGTTTGTGAAATGCTGGTCTAATTTGATTGGCAGATGCTACTTGGATGCTCTCCTTGAGGGGAAAAAGAAAACACAAGCCAGAAATTAAGTCAGTGTCCTATAATACCATAGAGATAGTCCTGACTATTCAAGGCATCCCAATCCATTAACAGATGAACTTTAACAGTTAATTTAAGTGTTAGTAGCAACAATAGAAATGCTGCACTTTAAAAGAGCTGTAGGCATGACCAACTTAAGAGTTAATTCTTGATATCCTCCACGGTTTCTGGTGATACAGGGGGCCAGGTGGGATCCTAAAACATGCAGAGTCTATCTCAGTGATGTTGTCACACTAAGGGGCTGCCATTCTGTCATAGGCCATACAACCAGCATGGAAGCAATCATTTTTGCACAATGTAGCAATTCTCTTTTTACCTTATTCTGAAAAGGAATCCAATGCTCAGAACATTGCACTTTAGCTGCAGAATCTGGGCTGTATTTCTCTAATGAAGAAACATTATATTTTTCACAGATGAAGGGCAACTTGGTACTACAGTCTACTGGTTTACCTAAGTCTGAGAAATGAAAAGCAAGGATTACTATGGTGAGAATTTTTCAGCCAGCACATTTTTTTTTTTTTTTTTTTTTTGAGACAGAGTCTCACTCTTGCCCAGGCTGGAGTGCAGCGGTATGATCTTGGTTTACTGCATCCTCTGCCTCCCAGGTTCAAGTGATTCTCGTACTTCAGCCTCGCAAGTAGCTGGGATTACAGGTGCATGGCACCATACTCGGCTAACTTTTGCATTTTTAGTAGAGACAAGGATTCACCATGTTGGCCAGGCTGGTCTTGAACTCCTTTGCATCAAGTGATTTGCCTGCTTCAGCCTCCCAAAGTGCTGGGATTACAGGCGTGAGCCACCGCGCCCGGTCACCACATTTCAAAAGCAACCCAGTAGTAAAGAAAGGCTCTTGAAATCAATCTTTCCCAAATGCTTAAAATATGTTCCATTTCTTCTCTAGCCATTTCTGTCTTCTGTGATTATTTTTATCGGTAGTTTACAGCATACCAATACTGTTTTAAAACATTACACATTTTACATAACTACCATATTGTCCCAGAATGAAGGCAAGAGGTAGGAAGAGAGTTGAAGGGGCAGAGTAATCAGGGGAAGAAGGGGACCTAACCTAAACTATATGTTAGAACTACTGCCTGCTTATCTTTGAAAATTTGCTTAGACATTTATCAATTAGGAAAGTGGTAAGTTTATTTCTAAGTAACTGCTTAAGGATAAAGGAAGTTAAAATATTCACAGTGAAAAGTGATTTTATTTGCATTGGGAATTTGAGCTATTGTTGTTGATAATAAATCAGAGTAAGATGAAGTTACCAAGCATATAATCAAAAGGAAAACAAGATTAAGCTAGAAACAGAACCTGAGGTTCACATATTACATAATAAGCATTAGAGGAGTTAGAATTAACTTTACCCATAAGCCAAGTTTTGGGAGATATGTACAAGCATTCCTCTCCAAATGTCACATGAAAGCGGTGCCATGGATGTCGTGAGCTGAAAGAAAACAACAGATTTCACAACAACTAATGTAATTAGGTGTTCCATTTTTTTCTTTTTACTGTAAGTTATTTTATTTCTAAATTTAATGTTAATACCATTATTTTATACCCCTTTTTTCTTGATGCCAACATGCAAAAGGACTTGGTTTTTCTAATCTAGGCAGTTTATGGGTTAATGTTCAAACTATTTATAAATAAAAATCCATTTAATAAAATAAATTGCTTCTTTTAAGTGATAACTTTACAAAGGTAAAATCAATGATGTCACTTACTATGAAAAATAATGATCTATTGGCTCCTCGCTAGTTCTCATCCACCACTTCTGTTCAGCACCAGATATCTGAAAAACAAACCAAAATCCATTCTTATAGGTGCTGAGCTTTCTTGAGGGTTTTGGTTCAAATACCTTGTCTTACTATAACCACTAACCACTATAATTTCTAGACATTCCTTACTTAGATCTCAAAATTATACAAGCCAGGACCTTTTGCCAAAGAGTAGTTGAAAACTCTCTGTATATTTACAGATCCTATTTTGGGTACAGGAAATACAATAGCTGTAATTACGGGCATATATTTATTTGACTACTACTTTAAGTGGGCATACAGTATCCTATTGCAATTAATTATAAATTTTAAAATACAGAAATTATTTTTCTTCACAAAAGCTATTTGCAAAGTTACTTATTAGTAGAAACAAAAACTCAAGTTAACTATAAAGTTGACTTCTAGTAAAAAACATGACAGGGAATTAGAATCATTTATATTATCTACTGCTATTTACCTTATGAAGTGATATTTATTGTTAATCTTGTGTATTTTAAAACATAAGCAATTCTACTTAATTTTTCAAACATGAAACAAATTTGGATGTTGTAAGGCAAATCTTACATTAAAGGAAAATTTAACTTTTGTAGATTTTGGCAAAATTTTTGAAATATTTTTAAATGGAATAAATATAAAAATAAGAAATACATTTAAAATATATTATTTTAAATTACATTTGCTATTTTGTTTCTGATGGCTCTTAGTCCTGCAAAAGATGTTACAGTAGCAAGAAAGCTGTGATTGCTGGCACAGTATAGGACAGCTTCTTCATAGTTTAGGTGAACATCAGCAACAAACCAATATTCACTTCCTTCAATTATAAGTGGAGGTCCATGAATCCCAGCACGCTCTAAAGAAGAAGAAGAAAAAGATTCGAGTTATGACTATGCAAAGCAAACTGTGTCCTCCAAGTATAAGTTAATGTTCAAAAGTGCAAATAGTAATTCAGATTACTGGCCCTCTCTGGCTGGGGCAGTACTGACTATAAGAAACAAGAGATATCTGAGCTAATGACTCTGCCACTCCCCTGCACTCACAGGGAAGGAAAAAGCCACCTTAATCACCTCATCCCACACCAGTCACTCACCTTCCTTGCCTGGAGAAATTTTATTTCACTTGAAGACATATAGAGAAGAAGCTGGCACTTGAATAGTTAACTAAATGCATTAGTGAAAAGGTAAAAGCAGCTTTGGTTAAATTTTAGTTTTTTTAACTCACCTGGATTGTACCAGTCTGGTGTTTTTGGAGTGTGGCCTATACGAGGAAGAAAGCAAGTGGCATTAGTATTCAATGACAGATCAGGGTGTACTATAAGTAGAGCCTTTAAAGTAGCTCAAAAAGTCTTGCAGTATTGCTGAGGCTTGTCCATTTCTGGACAAGTCACTTCACGTTTTGATCACCTTAGTTGTATGTTGTGGGGCTGATGCTAAAGCTGCTTTAGGAGCGATCAAAAGGCAGATCTGTTAAATATGAATGAAGTATTTCTAGCAGTCTTTTGCCTGCGTCATAGAGATCACAAAGGAAGTATAGAAGGATAAAATATAGCTAAGAATTAGGAAGTAAATGATGATATCATATGTATTACACAAAAGCAATAAGAAATAGGAACCAAAATAATCATCATTCTAGAACCACTTCTCAATCTAATGAAACGAATAACTATTCTGTAAACTTAGGTTGAGAGAGTTCATTGTCTTCCATGATATCCTTGGAAACAATGTACAATGCTCCAGTGATGAATATTTTGAGAAGATGAGACAAAACTGAGAGGAAAATAATAAAATCACTCAGGATTCCCAGATGGAAATGGAGGAAATAAGGCATGCTACACAGAACTCCATGCTCGGAAGCTGGGCAGATCAGTGTGCAAATGCCCTTATACATTTTGCTGCTGTGGTATTTCAGATGAGTTGCTTAACTCTCTCTGAGCCTTGATTTTCCCCTCTGTGAAAAGTAGATGGCCACCTAACTCACAGGGAGCGAAGGTCATGTGTGATGCCCTGGAGAAAGCGGCCAGCACAGGGCCAGGCACAGAGCAGTTCCTCATGGGAGCCTATTTGCTTTCCTCCCCCTTTTCATTCTGACCACAGATCACACTGGCTTCAAGTCAGAGACATCATTCGCTTAACCTTAGAAATTACAGAGTAAAATAGCTGTTCTTAATTTTGGTGTGGCATGTGGGCCTCAGGCAACAGAAGACCTGACTCAGAGGACTGCCTGCATAGCTAGCATCTTTGGTCTCTCTCTCTAAGCCAATTCTATTCATATTGGATAATTTCCAACAATAATGCTGCAAGTCAGTTCAAAATGTATACAGTTTCTTGTCTGTAATCTTGTCAAAGATTTCTGATTATTTATGTGTGGGGGGAGGGAAAGCTATGTCTAACCTTTACATATCTTTAAATTAGTGAGAAAAGCAGGATGCTAGGTGTGTTTTTATACAAGATTACAAACATGTATGTGTGTACAAGGTATCAAGAATTACAATAAAAATAGCTATGTTTGGGTAATGGCATCATAGGTAATTTTCCTAAAAACAATTTTATGAGCCTTATTTTTGACACAGTTTTCTCAATTAAAAAAAGAATATTTAAAAAGTACAAATATTCAGGGATTAAGGTTACTTCACATTTACAGGTTGCCAAAATATCTCTTTTAGGGAAGAGAGGATTAATTAGAACCAAGTAATAAAAAGGCAAGAGCCAGAGAAAAGGCATGGTGATTTAGGATACATAAGAGGAAAATTTCTTTAAGAAAACTAGAAAATACAGATTAATACAAGTTGGGTAAACTTTAGGCTGCTCTAATAACCAAGAAAATATCTAACCAGGTGAATGTATCACATCATAACTTAGAAGTTTAGGTACAGTCAAAAAAGGGTGAACATAACATTTAAACCCTGGAGCAAGCAATCATTGATTTCTTCAAGTAATTGGGAATAGGCTGAGAACAGGAGATTAGTTTTTTATTTTGTTTCTGCATGCGGACAATGGAGGTAGAATTACTTAGAAGATGTATTTGTTTGATTAATTGATTTATATTTGCCGAGTTAATTCCTTTCTCTCTTGTTAAAAATATATGTTTATATATATATATATATATACACCTCCAAATGCCCTTTATACTATTTCCTGTGGTGACTAATTTGCCATTTCTAAGGTTGTCCTTGTTTAAACTCTGGGGTCTGCTCCACTGCTCAAACAGGAGGTGGGGACAGCAGCTCACATTGAGGGCACCTTGGTTGGAACAATGACATTGTCTGTGGAATGCTAACAAATGCCAGAAAGTAATGGGAGGCTCACACTAATGCTTCAAAACAGAGATATTGTCCGAATTAATTATGTGCGAATTACTTTTCCACTTGTTTAAAGGATATCCAAACTGGTTTTCCTTTGTCCCTTTTCCAAGTTTAATCAAATAATCAGGAATAACTCAGGCATAATTTATCCTTTAGAAAAACCCATACACACACAGACACACACACACACACTCTTTTATAAATGGTTTCACAGTTTGCCTTTGTGAAAGAGATTCGCCAGCACCTAATGTCACATCCGAAGCTCTTTTAACTATTTTAGGAAAAAGAATAATCTTCTAATAGGCAGTTCCATGATGTGAACTTTGGGTTCTTTGAGAACTTGTAGGAGGATATATCTTTAGTTTCAATGATCTGTTGACATTTGGTTCAGAGATTTATTTTAAAAATTTCTAGGTGTTTTCTGCTAATTAATTTAATATGGCCAATGTCTGCTTAAAAATAATTTGAGGCTGGGTGGGGTGGCTCATGCCTGTAATCCTAGCACTTTGGGAGGCTGAAGTGGGCCAATCACTTGAGTTCAGAAGTTCGAGACCAGCTTGGCCACCATGGTGAAACCTTGACCCTACTAAAAACACAAAAATTAGCCTGGCATGGTAGCAGGTGCATGTAGTCCCAGCTACTTGGGATGCTAATGCAGGAGAATTGCTTGAACCTGGGAGGTGGAGGCTACAGTGAGCCGAGATCGCAGCACCACACTCCAGCCTGGGAGACAGATCAAGACTCCGTCTTAAAAAATGATAATAATAATTTGAGAATTAAAATCTTCCTAACATTTTTCTTAATATTTCATATTTTCCTGGTAAAAAGTGAAGTAAAATTATATCTATGTTCCCCCGCCTCCTTTCTGTTATCAAAGGCTGTACTATCAATCTAACTGGCTTCTCAAATTTGAGTTTACATAAAAGTGTTAGCAGTTTTGTAGTTCATTGAAAATTTCTTCTAAGCTTTACAGGGATCTGCCAAATTTTTATTTCTTGACTCTTGCCTTCTTTTTCCTATCTTTATTTTTTCACTTTGCATCAAAATAAAAAATTAAAATGATTCTATATTTCTCCTTTTGCTTAAAATACTATTTCATCCAAAATCTAATCTCCCTAAATGAGTCTTAAACTTTATCTTCTATGCAAATTCTTCCATGATGAAAGAGTAAAGTATCACCAAATTTCAATAAGCTAGCCTTCTATTAGAAGCCAGAGTCAGGCAGGGGTGCTCCACATATTAACTGCATCATCATAGGCTTTTAGACATTAGAATTATAGATCAAAATGCTCCCTTAAGTATTTTGAGCTGAGCATTGACAATGTTAAAATGAGAAGGTTGTGAAAAGGAATAATTACCACTTACCTTTTGGAATTTGGCACACCCATTCAAGTTTTGTATCACAAGCAAAAGGCCTCAAATAAATAAATTCTCTGTCATCAAAGAAATGCCAACCTCTTCGCCATGGCCTATGAATGACCTAAAAGAGGAAAAGGATTGCAGAATAGTTTGAAGTCGATACATTCCTCATGGAACACTAAACTGTAAGCCCTATGATTTTGATCTCTATGTTAGCTCTAGCACCTAAAGTATTTGTTTAATAAATGAACACATGAATGAATGGAATATTTAAACAGTAATACCCTGAGCAAGAGCCTTCAAAGGATTAAGAAAGGAAATATGTTGTAAAGTCATGTTTATATCCAAAATGCAGATTTTCTCCCCGACGCCTGACAATTTTTGTTAGGATATTTATTTTAGAGATATCCAAGCACCAAGCTGTGATCAAATCAGTTCAGAAAGTGACATAAAAGTCCAGCCTCAGTGGCCCAGGCTCCTTCTCTGGTGTTGTCATATGCCATTTCTAGGATTTTGCCCTTCTCCACAAGGTCCAGGATGGCTCACTGCCAATTCCAGCCAGCAAGTAGGAGAAAAAGGAGAGAGGAAGCATGACTTGGGAGAGACATCCATCACTTCTTGGACTATTTTCTCTTAAGGCCAAGTTTCTGGAGGTTCTCTGGCAGGTGAGGTAAGATTTTTCTTACAGAACACTGCCCTGGATGGGCTTGTTCCGGATTCAGGTTGCATTAGTATTTCTTTATTTATTTGGCAGGTTTTCAAATCTCTCCATACTTGGAAACTCTATTTACCTAGAATATAGTTTATTGTACCAGTGTTCCCATAAGCTTCTCTGAAGTTTTCACCTTTTCTTGTGTTAAATTGGGAATTCTATAAAAACGCCATGAAGGCTGCGCGTGGTGGCTCATGCCTATAATCCCAGCACTTTGTGAGGCCAAGGAGGGCAGATCACAAGGTCAGGTGATCGAGACCATCCTGGCTAACATAGTGAAAGCCCGTCTCTACTAAAAATACAAAAAATTAGCCCGGTGTGGTGGCATGTGCTTGTAGTCCCAGCTACTCAGGGGGCTGAGGCAGGAGAATCGCTTGAACCTGGATGGCGGAGGTTGCAATGAGCCAAGATCGTGCCACTGCACTCCTGCCTGGGCGACAGAGTGACACTCCGTCCCCCCACAAAAAATGCCATGAATGACACTGTTTATTACTAGAAGAGTCATTTTGAAAATGGTGCTTTTGGCCGGGCTCGGTGGCTCAAGCCTGTAATCCCAGCACTTTGGGAGGCCGAGGCGGGTGGATCACGAGGTCAAGCGATCGAGACCATCCTGGTCAACACGGTGAAACCTCGTCTCTACTAAAAATAGAAAACATTAGCTGGGGATGGTGGCGCGTGCCTGTAATCCCAGCTACTCAGGAAGCTGAGGCAGGAGAATTGCCTGAGCCCAGGAGGCGGAGGTTACGGTAAGCCGAGATCGCGCCATTGCACTCCAGCCTGGGTAACATGAGTGAAACTCCGTCCCCCCAAAAAAACAAACAAACAAACAACAACAACAAACAAAAAAACGGTGCTTTCCTGTGGCTTTATCAGTTCTTATTTGCTTTAGCCTTCCTGTAACATTTCTGGTGAGCAACCTTCTTGAATCTCTGCCTTGGACTATAAATCAAAGATTACCTGACGTCTCCTCCAACTTGATCTTTTTTCACTCTATATGTTGGTAGTTCCACCAAATCCAATTCTTGGCCCTTCACCTTCTTTTTCTTAAATATACGTTTTCCTCTCAACTCAAGACTCTTGATCTCAACTTACCATAGCATATACCTCAGCTAGCTTGGATTCAAAATATCTAAACAAAATCTTAAAATTTTCTCCATAAATCAGTACCCTTTCTGTTTCTATAAATGCCTAATCATATAGCATGGTGGTTAAGAGTAACAGACCCAGACACACATGGGTTTAAATTTCAGTTCAGTTTAAATTTACTCCATGTAAGCAGGAGTAAATTACAGCTCAAGTTCCTATGTGAGATGAATACAGTAACAGTGCCTACCTTACAAGATTGCTTATGTGTTAAGTGACATGTGTGACATGCCTAGCACAGTGGCTGGCTCATAAAGGAGTTAATCAGTGTTAGCTGCTGCCATCATCATCATCACCACTACCATGGACCATCGCCATCACCATCACCGTCATTATTATTGTCTCATAATATTCTTGTTCTTGCATAAAACTTGTATTTCACCTGTCATAGTCCTTACTCAGTGGTGTCTTAATTGCTTATTTGTCTTTATTTCCTACTAGACTTTAGTTCTGTGAAGACAATGGCTATGCTTTGTACCTTGTCATTGTTCTATCCCCCAGTGCCTCACGGACTCCTTGGACTGTTTATGAAATAGATACATGAATGCATTCTGCAAAGGAAGATGTCTAACTGGTCTTTTATGCCTTCCCATCTTACTGTTGCACTTGACATCTGTCTCAAGATGAATCTTCCTCATATCCTCCTTAGTTCACGTGACCCTCCCTACTCAGAAACTTTAAAAAATGCCCTGTTGCCCATCAAGAAGTATACAAATTCCTTAACTTGGCATCAATCTAATTTCCTAATATTGTTATCAAGGACAGCACCAACGAAAACTTCGTGATCTGTATTCTGTTCTCTTCGCTGCCTTCCACGCTTCCTTCCACTTCCACCTTATTTTATGCCACTTTCTCATACCATCCTTGCATGAGAAAGCCTCACCCTATCCCATCTGTAGAAACTATCCATCCTTAAAGTCCCAGTTCAAGTCCCACCTCTTCCTGGACAATGGCCACGGGAATCACTTCCTCCTCTGAGTTTCATTAACCTTCCTCAGCCTACTCATTTAGAGCTTATTACTGCATAGTAATGAAGGAAGTTTTCTTGAATATGAATTTTATCCTCTCAAATGAAGTGTAAGTTAGGCTGCTGAGGGGCAGGCCATGGGTGTGCTTATCTCCTACTGCATCTAACGTCATGCTCTACATGCAAAGGCATTCCATGGATCTGTTATTTGACTGCATATGATGATGGATTTTTTTAAATATGCAGATTTTCCAGCATTGTACTGACCTTCACAGCAGCACAGTCTCTGATGTCATAATCCTGCTGAAACTCATTTGGCATGATAACAGTAGACACCTGAAAAGACAAGAGAGGCTTGAGAATTTAAGACTGATGTATAAATATTTGCAATTTAGATGTAATTTAGGCAGCCTTAATCACTCAAGTGTGTTCATATGCCACAGAAAGAAAACTTTTTCATCTCCTTTTTATATTGTGATGCTAAATCATGAGAGGACTTAGCAAATGTCATAATGTCATAAGTTTCCAAACAAAGGAAGCCACAGTTTCAGAAATGAAGGTTAGTAGTATGTTATTAAGTTGGCTGCTGGAGTCATAGAGAAACAAGCTTGCAAAATATTTCTTTTTTTTTTTTTTGCATGTGTTGAAATGTTCATTATTTGATTAATCTCAGACATGCTCCATCCAATTTGAATATAAACTCAAGGAGTTTTACATTTAGAAAGAATAAAAAATGAGGTGACACAATGATAATTTGGAGCACATATTGAATATCTGAGAATAATTTTGTTCCTATAAATGTTACATTAAATACCTCCTTAGGATAATATAAACATGTGGAATAATAGTAGGGAATTTCCTCCGATAAAGATACTTTTATCCAGGTATAGTGGCTCATGCTTGTAATCTCAGCATTTTGGAAGGCCACAATTGGCAGATGGCTTGAGCCCAGGAGTTTGAGACCAGCCTGTAGAGATGGTGAAACCCCATCTCTACAAAAAAGTACAAAAATTAAATGGATGTGGTGGCATGTGCCTGTGGTCCCAGCTACTCAAGGGGTCGAGACATGAGGATCGATTGAACCCAGGAGGTTGAAGCTGCAGTGAGTCAAAATGGCACCACTGCACTCTAGCATGGGTGACACAGTGAGACCCTGTCATCCCCACCTTGTCTCCCCAAAAAGAGGTATTTTATTTTTTTGCATAACTCTTACATCTTTAGATAATAAAAATAAAAGCTTCTCACTATAGAAATGAAAATAAACAGTATAAAGAGAAAGCTTTATATTGTTTTCAACAATCATTTGTGGCCAGGTGTGGTGGCTCACACCTGTAATCCCAGCACTTTGGGGAGCTGAGGTGGGTGGATTGCCTGAGCTGAGTTTGAGACCAGTCTGGGCAACATGGTGAAACCCATTTCTACAAAAAATATAAGTATTATCTGGGCATGATGGCATGCACCTGTGGTTCCAACTACTTTGGAGGCTGAGGTGGGAAGACTGCTTGAGCCTGGGAGGTGAAGATTGTCGTGAGTTGAGATTGGACCACTGCACTTCAACCTGGGTGACAGAGTGAGACCCTATCTCAAAAAGAAAAAAATCACTCATACTACCCAAAGATGACTACTATATCTATATCTTTATTATTTTTGACTATATATAGAGAAACAACACATGTGGATTTTTAAAAATAAGACTTGTAACTCGTTTTTCCCTTACTCCCTATATGTAACTCTATTTTCATTTCAATAAAGACACATAATTTTAATGGTTGTATGACATGTGGATGTATTTATTTTTTAAATTGGCAGGTAAAAGTATATGCATTTATCATATACAACATGATGTTTTGAAGTATATATACATTGCAGATTGATGAAATTTAGCTAATTAACAAATGTATTATCTCACATAGTTATCATTTTTGTGGTGAGAACACTTAACATCCACTTTTAGCATTTTTCAAGGATATAAAATATGATTAACTATAGCCAACTTGTTGTACAATAGATGTCTTGAACTTCCTATCTAAATGAAATTTTGTAACCTTTGGCCAACATCCCCCCAATCACCCACCTCATCTGCCCCAGCTCTTGGAAACCACCATTCTACTCTCTAGTTCCATGAGATCCATTTTTTTTTTTTTTTTTTTTTTTTTAGATTCCACATCTGAGTGATATCACATGGCATTTGTCTTTCTGTGCCTGTCTTCTTTCACTTAGCATAATGTCGTCCATGCTGTCACAAATGGCAGGATTTCCTTCCCTTTTATGGTTGAGTAGTACTCCATTGTGTACATATACCACACTTGCTTTATCCATTCATCTGCTGATGGACACTTAGGTTGATTTCATATCTTGGCTACTGTGAATAGTGCTGCAGTCACCCTGCGAGTCTCTTAAACATTCTGATTTCACTTCCTTTGAATATATACCCAGTAGTAGGATTGTTGGATCATGTGGTTAGTTCTATTATTAATTTTTTGAGAAACCTTCATACTGTTGTCAATAACAGCTGTACTAATTTACATTCCCACCAACTTCATGCAAAAGTTCCCTTTTCTCTACATCCTCAACAACATGCATCATTTGTCTTTTTCATAATAATCATTCTGACAGGTGAGAGGTGATAACTTACTATGGTTTTAATTTTGTATTTCCCTGATGATCAGTGATGTTGAGCATTTTTCATACGACTGTTGGACATTTTTATGTCTTCTCTGGAGAAATGTCTATTCAAACCTTGGACCGTTTTTCAATTGGGTTGTTTTCTTGCTATTGATTTGTTTTAATTCCTTATCTACAGTCATACACTGCATAATGATCTTTCAGTCAACCACAGATGGCCTACCTATTTGTTTCTGCCTCCATATGCTTGTGTAGATAGTCTTCCTTGGAAGATCTATCCTTCCTTTTCTTGGCCAATCTGAATACTGGCATTCAGATCATGGCTAAAAAGAAGCCATCCCTTGAAGATGTGTTCCCATAAGATTATAATCTATTTTTACTGTACCTTTTCTATGTTATCACTGTGCCACAATTGCCTACAGTATTCAGTACAGTAACATACTCTACAGGTTTGTAGCCTAGGGGCAATATAGAGCCTAGATGTGTAGCCTATGTGTGTAGTAGGCTATACCATCTAGGTTTGTTGACATATGTTCTATGATGTTTGCACAAAAACATTACCTAACAATGCATTTCTCAGAATGTATCCCACTGTTAAGTGATGCATGACTGTATTTTGGATATTAGTCTTTTATCAGATGTACAATTTGCAAATATTTTCTCTTATTTTGTAGGTTGTCTCTTCACTCTGATGACTGTTTCCTTTATTGTGCAGAAGTTTTTAGCTTGATGTAATCCAATTTTATCTATTTTGGCTTTTGTTGTCTGTATTTTTAAGTTCATATCCAAAAAAATCATTGTCCAGACCAATGTCATGGAGCTTTCCCCCATGTTTTTTCCTAGTAGTTCATAGTTTGAGGCCTTCCATTTAAGATTTTAATTCATTTGGAGTTGATTTTTGTATATGGTATGAGATAAGGATTTAATCTCATGTTTCTGCATGTGGAAATCCAGTTTTCCCACTACCATTTATAGAAGAGACTGTCCTTTTCTCATTGTGTGTTCTTGGTATCTTTGTTGAAAACCAGTTGTCTATAAATAGGTGGATGTATGTTTGGGCTCTCCATTCTGTTCCATTGGTCTATGTGTCTGTTTTTATGCTAGTACCATGCTGTTTTGTTTATTATAATTTTGTAGTGTATTTCTGAGGTCAGGTCCAGCTTTATTCTTTTTGTTCAAGATTTCTTTGGCTATTCAGGGTCTTTTGTGGTTCCACATAAACTCTAGGTGTGGATGTATTGTTTAACAAACAAATAGTGCTTCCATACTACCTAAAACAATGAAATTTTAACTTACAGGTGTACGATCACTCCATTGCCAGGATCCTTGTAAATCTGGGCTCCTTTTATTCAAACCAATCCACAGCCAGTGCTGGCCACTATGTAAAAAGCAAGTGTTAAAAATATGAGGACAATGCTTCGCAAAAATATTTAGCACTTACATGTCTAAAGTGCTTTAGATAAGTAAGTTTATTCAGAAGCACTTGTCACTAATTGAAAAGCATAGTTTCAAGCAACATAAAGAAGTCTCTTGAAATGAAACTAAGCCCTTAATATGGGGTAGCTACAGAAAAAGTACCATACTTTTAAAACTACATTTTAAGCTGTTTTCTTCACATGAAAGGCAAAAACTATTCTACTTTGAATTTTAAGAAGAAAAAAATGGAAATTGTTACAAGGCTTTTACTGTAGTGCTTGAATATTGGACAGCATTTTCAGATACAGTCAAAAGCAACAATGGCATTTCTTTAAAGTGTTTGTCTGTAACACTATCAAATATTATTCTTTAAAATGCAGAACAAACTATTTGGCTAAATTTTTATCAAACAATATTTGAAACATAGTTGACTTCCCACTGCCCACTAAGTTTAAAGTATTGTCTATGTGCCAAAGAAATATACCAGATAAATATATGAAGCAATCAGATAAGTGATTATACTCATCACTTATATTTATTATACTTTTATGTAAAAGGTACTGAGCTAGGTGCAATGAGGACACAGAGAAGTATAAGACCTAATATCTACCCTCAAATGTAATATAAAATAGAGAGATAAGATATATTATGAACAAAAAAGGAAAGACCAATTATGAAAGCTATCAAATGAGTTGTATACATTTTAGGTTATACAAAAGTTCAGAAAAAGGAGAGGTCACTGTGGACTGCAGAAAATGAAGAAAGACTTTGTGAGGTTGGTAGGACAAAAGATATTCTTCAAGGGATGGCTAACATTTCTGTCTAGCCATGATCTGAATGCCAGTATTCAGACTGGCCAAGAGGAAGAAGGGTAGGCCTTCCAAGGAAGACTATCTATACAAACATATAGAGGCAGGAACACACATGTAAGTAATCCTTTCCCCTCCAATACATTTGTGCTCTAGCCAGGGATAAATATCCAGCATAGGTAGACATGATATAAGCATGGAAGTTTTTCTCTGCCTCCAGCTCCATTTGAAAATATTTCCTAAAATTTATTATACTTTTAGGCAACAAATAACATTCACATAATCAACCTTTTGTTGCCACATGTTACGTATGATCAGTACATCTTCATGTCTACACATATATAAATGTAATATGCAGAATACATATGTAATATGTAAGCATAATGCAGAATATATTTTAGAGAAGGGGTAGATTCCAACTCGAAAAACAATCCATACTCTCAAGTTCTGCAGAATATATGGAACATATAGCTATAAGTCTACAAAGAAAGATAATAAGTGAATTTTAATAAAATGTACTAGTGAATCCAAGGCTGAGGCAAAGAATTTTAAACTCATTTCTTATTTTTAATAAATGTTTTTCTTTATTTCTTACTTTGTTCAACGTTCCCTCATATTTTAATAACAATAAGTACTTTTTCATCTTTTCAACTTCAAGGCTTTTGACTTAATGCAACGGAATATGAATGAGGACCGTCCTCTTTTGGTTTTTATTGTTATATTGTTTTCTTTTATAGAGAAAGATCCACTAATTTGTGGACTTAAGATATATCCAGTGGGGACAATTAAGTCCAGTTTAAATTTAGTAGCTACAAGAGGAATTTGCAGTTTATGCCTTTAGTTCATCAAACCTTTCTTACAGGCTTCCATCATACTGCCTGAGTTCTGGATTTCTAAACCACAGGGTCTAGACAATTGCCATATACAGCGCAATTAAAGCCAGACAGCTAAAATAGAGAGGCAGTTAAGTTTTCCTGCTCATACTTACTTGGGGGAAATAACTCCATTTCTCCCAAAACTTAGCATGTTATATATTTGGGCCTGGGGAATTCGTGTAGAATTTTGTGTTTCCCTAAAGTAAGCATTAGCTATTTTATCTTCTTTACACAATCCACAATACAACCAGGAAGATGATCAAAGATCATTTGTCACCTGCATTGCAGAGGCTCCCACTGGCAGCCTTTTTAGAGATTTGTCCTCAACTTTCTAGGCTCCTCAAGCCCTTACCCAGTCTTCTCTCAGCTAATAGCTCCCCTTCCTTCCACTGAGAAACATCTCTGCTTTCAAGCTCATTTCTGGCTCCTTTGCTGCACCTCAGAGGACAGTTTCCCAGACAAAAGAGTTTGCTTGATTGTCCAAAATTTCTAATCTCCACTACTTTCTGAAACTGAGTTTCATTTCAACACAGAAATTTATAGATTTTGGCTTTATTTTAAAGAATTCACTAGCATGTCATAAATACAGAAAATAATAGCTACTTGTCTGTATTTTTTTTTTGTGTGTGTATGGGATTAGAAGTGGAAAATATTTCCTCAATTCTAACTCATTCCTAGTTTGATAGTTTAGCTGTAGGCACAGGGAAGAAGAAATTGGATATCACATTAATCACTGCACACTTCCAATGTTGATTTTTTACCCTCACAGAAAATGTGGGAGCAAAGAAATTGCACCTGATCATAACTGGGTAATCAAGTCAACTGAGATTCCCTCTCTCTCTTTATAAATTTCTGCTTCTCCAAGCACTAAGTGTATGGTTTTAAAACTTTTAGGTCTAAAAGAGATTGCATAAAAGGTTAATATGTGTAATTATGTTGCAATTCCTATTCTCAATCAAATTTCCTGCTGCATCTGGTTGCTAAGGAAAACAGTATCTCAGCCATAACCCCCAATAAATACTATTTGATGAGGGTGCTTATTCTGCAAAGCCTTAGACTTATGTCTAAATCTATTCATGCCACATCACAGGAGGTAGTGTACACAGCAGCAATGGCATTGCAAACAAGGCTTTCTTCTCTAATCCTATGGCTATTTTTGCCCTACAATGGCTTTCCCTGTTGGGCTGCCATTAAGAGTTGCAAAGATCTTAGAGCCTTAATGATTTGGTACACCATGAATCCTTTTCACTGAAATACAAACAGAGATGTGGAATGTAGATTGTGAGAGGTACAGCATAATCTGACTTAACTCCTTGGCATGCAGTACACAATTTGGGCAATGGATATCTTGCAGAGAAAGGTCAATTCCTGCAATAAAGGGCTAAGGGATTCAAGGAGTAAGCTTTAAAATCATTTTCTAATATAAATGGGTTTGGTTCTTTCTTTCCTTTAAGCTATGGTTACAATTTTGGTTTTAGAATATGTTCAGCAAGCACAGCCCAGGCAAACGGTTTCTTTATTATGGAGAAGTTATTAAGCAAATAACACAGTCTGCTTACTACGGCATTGTGTTAGCTGCTAGGATCAGAGTACAAATAAAATACTGTTCCTATGAATGAAGGGATTATGGAGATTTGTTTTTTCTCTGTGCTGTTCTGTTTTCTAAATTCTATGATCATTAATTCTATGATTAGAAAAATTTAAACATAGTATATTCTATGGAAAATAGGATTTGTAAAAGCTATATGTGCAGAGATGTAAGTAAATGGAAAGGGTTTACACTAAATGTTTACTATGTTTATAATCAGGAGCTAGGATTTGAGGTGATTGCTTCATTAGCTGTTTTCATATTTTCCAAATTTTATATAATGAACTTGTATTAATTTTTTAATGGAGTGCTTAACAAGTGTGATTCCAAACAAAGAAATAAATCATGAAAAGTTCCTTTCATGTTAGTTTTGTTGCCCAGTGTAATTCATCCTGTATATGGATACTCTTAATGGTCATTTCTATCATATATGATATTCCAATGTTTTCTCTTTATTGTTTCTCACAAATATCTATAATCGCATTGCTTAGTACTTATCCATGGCTTCTCATTACAGTTAGAGTTACTAACCGCTTGCTTGGAATCTAGAGCTTATGTCAGTATTTACTTAAAAATACTTTACCTGGATGGTATGATATTGTGTGTGTCAAGCTTGAGATCTAAGGGGTGTTAAGTTGTCCTGCTTGAAATTTACATGTCAGGAAGAATTGGTGGTGTATTAGAAAGGCCATGCTCCAGAGGTGGCCACCATGAGGACTTCCATCATCACCAAAGTCACGCTGGAGGCTTTGGTCATGAGCAGAGCAAATATGAGAACTAGATTAATGTCAGTGAAATTAGAAGCTCGTTCATTGGCATGATGGGTAGGAATGGGCTCTCATTAACGAAATGTAAGTTATTTGAGATGTAGGGATTAGCTAAAATATTTAGAGCAACTCTCACACTTCTCAAGAGTATATTAGAATCTTGTGAGGCCACAGCCCATTTCTCAGTAGGGCTTGATTCTAAACAATCCCACATCCAGTCATTGGGTCAGGTGATTGTGATGGCCTGATACTGACTACAATGGGAACAGAATGCTGCCCCAGAATGTTGTCACACCTGCTTCAAGTAAACTTGTGCAAGGTGATATTTATAATACCAAAAGGACAGATTGCTGCTATGTTGTGAAGCTTACAAAACAGGCTTTATAAAATGTTTTGTGTCTGCTTCGATGAATGTTTGCATAGCAAATATCTGTATGTGTGGAAGAATTTGGTCTGAATTTTGTATTTATTATAATCTATTCTCAAGGTTGAGGGAATAGCTAACACTCACCTCAAAAAGAACCCAACAGTTAATATTTAATATATACAAATTGACTTGGGTCAGTCTGCAATGAAATTTTGTATATTAATTTCTAACACCAGACAGTGAAGTCTGGAATACTTGAGGTTCTACGATAGATGCTTAATAAATAAATACTTATGGAACACAGGTATTGTATTTTACATAGGCTCCCAGTACACTGTAGTGAAACTACATTCTCTAATGAGAAAAACACAGCAGAAGCTTTCTTAAAGCGCATCTGGGCCAAGCGCTGTGGCTCATATCTGTGATCCCAGTGTCTTGGGAGGCTAAGGAGGGTGAATCACTTGAGCCCAGGAATCTGAGATTAGCCTAGGCAACATGGAAAAACCCCATTTCTACAAAAAATACAAAAATTAGCTGGTTGTTATGGCATGTGCCTGTAGTCCCAGCTACTTGGGAGACTTAAGTGGGGGGATTACCTGAGTCTGGGAGGTTGAGGCTGCAGTGAGCCATAATCACGCCGCTGCACCTCAGCTCAAATAACAAAATAAGACCCTGTCTCATAAAACAAAACAAAACAAAAAGGAAATATGGAATATGTGATGTGGAAATTTTCAAAGAAAACATTTCATTCATTTATTTTTTAGAGACAGGGTCTCACTCTGTTGCCCAAGCTGGAGTGCAGTGGCACCATCTTGGCTCACTGTATCCTTGAACTCCTGACTCAGCCTCCTGAGTAGCCAGGACCACAGATGTGTACCACCATGCCCAGCTAATTTTTTAAATTTTTGAGGCAGGGTCTCCCTATGCTCCTCAGGCTGGTCTTGAACTGGTTTCAAGCATTCCTCTCACCTCAGGCCCCAAAGTGTTGGGATTACAGGCATAAATCACTACACTCAGCCCAAAGAAAACACTTTAAAAATCATTCAAAATCTTACTTCCTAGAGATATAACAGCCATTACCCTTTTTGATGCATTTTTGCAGTCTAGTTTTAAATGTAAATAATATATTTTTACTCTTTGATAATTTACCTTTTCTTGTGCTTAATATATTATAAACATTTACACATTATAGTATTGTTTTTATCTTAATGTACAGGAGATGAATCTCAAACCAAGATTAACAATAGTGATGATAGAGGGATCCTTACCTTTTTCAGACTTTCAGGGAAAATGCACTTACCAATGCTTCATCATTAAGTGTGATACGGCTACTAGTTTGAACTACTCTTCTATTTGAATAAGAATTTATGTTATAGTTATATTTACTAAATATAAGTATATATTTAAGTATTAAGCCAGGAATGAATAGATTTTACCAGATGCATTTTCAGCATCTATTAAGATGATCACATGCCATGATTTGTGATTATTAACTCAATTGCTATTTGAGTAAATATAAGACAAGCACATAACATAACCAAGGGAAGTGGGGTCAAGAAGCAATAAATTAGAGACCATGGCAAATTGGAGAGTCAGGCCCCATTTTAGGAGGCCACCAGCTACTCAGCACTAACTTATTTATTGCACAATGAAAATGTTGCTAGCTGCTTTTTAAAAATTTTTTAAAAAATTTAATTTTTTAAATTTTTAAATGATTTTTATTAGAATTTCACAATTTTGTAATACTCTGTGGCCCCCCAGGAAAAGAACATTATAGTCTTAGAGCTGGATAAATACTAATTGGCAAGCTTTGTTTTAAGTCTCTTTCAACAGTGCAGAATTGGACTTTATTATTGAACAAATTTGCAGACTTGCACTTAATCAAAACGAAAAATAAGCCGGGTGTGGCGGCTCACGACTGTAATCCCAGCACTTTGGTAGGCAAAGGCTACCTGGATCACCTGAAGTTCAAAGTTCAAGACCAGCCTGGCCAACATGGTGAAATCCCTTCCTCTCTCTCTATATATGTGTATATGCATAAATACACACACATGCACCTTGTTTTTTGTTTGGTTGTGCTTATTGACTTAAGATCAAACTCCTTCCCTGGCAAACAAGGACATTCCAATTGCATATCCAAATCCCATTTTCTAACTAATTTGTATGACTCATTTCTCCTTGACCATATCTGTACATTCTGTTCTCAGTTCCTTTGCTTATGTTTGAAATAATACGTACCTTCCAAGAATCAGCCTTCTTTATATTTTTCCTGATTATACTCCTAGAACACTCTCCCCCTCCTCTGAATTCTCAAAGCCCTTCCTTGTCTATGTTCTAGATTTTCTGCCATACATTACTGTTGGACTTTGTTAAACAAAGGGTAGGAAATATATCTCATTCATCTTTAGATTCCTCATAGTGTCTGCATATTAAGAGAGCTTGATGTTGCATGACTGCGAAGCAACAAATGACCTTTTAGATAATAAAGTATGTCAATTTTTTTTCCAACAGGGAGGGAGGGTAAGAACATGTCAATTTTGAATATCTAGAGGACATCAAATTCAGCATAGAGAATCTCATTCTACAACCTATGAGTGCATGTTCTCACTCATAGGCAGGTGTTGAACGATGAGAACACATGGACACAGGGAGCATCACACACTGGGTCTGTTGTGGGGTACTAGGGGTGGGACAGTGGGGGGTGGGGAGGTTGGGGAGAGATAACATGGGGAGAAATGCCAGATATAGGTGACGGGGGGATAGAGGCAGCAAACCACCTTGCCATGTATATACCTATGCAACGATCCTGCATGATTTGCACATGTACCCCAGGACCTAAAGTACAATAAGAAAAAGAAAGAAATTCTCATTCTAAAAGTATTACCTGAACTGGTCCATCAAAAAGTGAAGAAAATCCTTTAGTTCATCCGCATGGCTGAAGCTAGAAAGGTGTGCTCCAAGGGCTTGGCAGAATCGTTCAGCTTCTTCCCAGTTCCTCTTTCTCACAATTCTTTCTGTATGGAATACCTTAGTAAAATATAATGTTAATTTGTTTTCTGGTATAATCATAAAGTACTCCACAGTGTTAAAGTCAATTACTGTTGTGTGTGTGCCCCTGAAATGAATTCTTACAGGTGTAATGAAGGCATAGGTAAACGCACATATACTGAGGCACAGACAGGTCCTGCTGAAAGTGTCAATTCAACTAAAGGCCAGCACAGGGGCCAGTCCCTGTGGTCAGATGGATGGCCTTCCTCAGCCAGGCCCAGGAATTGCTCCAACAAGAGCCATATTCTCTTGTATTCCTAGGACCTTGAAAGATATAATGAACCAGTGTGCAAGGCTATAAAGGATACATATAAATGCTTTGGGAGTAGGCTTTGGCAAAGAAATGTGCTAACAATATAAATTTTGAATTTAAGATACTGTGGACCCACACAAAAATAGAACTATTTTCTGATGAGGAAGGACCAAAGAGCAGTCTACACTGGTGTGTAAACATTGACAGGAGGTGGCAAAACTAACTGGAACTTGGGCTGTTTCAAAAGAAGAAGAAAGAAGAAAGAGAAAGAAGAGGAGGAGGAGGAGGAAGAGTTGATGACACAATGACAGGATGAATTATATTTGTCCCAATTCTTCTGTTCCTTGTAATATAATTAGACAGTCTCGCCACAGCCCTTTGGTGGGTGGAATATACTTCTTTGTACTTTGACATGGGGCTTGGCCATATGACTTACTGTGTTGATGGGATATTAGTGGAGGTAAAGTGAGCAGAGGCCTGAAATGTGCTTATATGGTTGGCTTGCCTTCTTGGGCTCCAGTGATATACCATGAGAACGACAAGCCCCTGAAAGCTGTTGCCCTTTCAGTTTGAGCCTAGATGAAGGACTGGAGCCCAGCACATCTGACCTGAAGTTGGAAGCAGAGGTCACCATTCAAGTCCAATCTAGATCGGTTAAACCCTAGTTGGCCTGGAGATCTGCGTGAATGTGAGGCTAAATGTTTGTTGTCATAGCCACCAAATTTTGGGGTGGCATCTAATGGTTGGTTTATGGGACTAGTTGACTGATGCAGACCCCAATAAATACACACACGCACACACACACATACACACACACACACACACACAGATATATATTTACATATACATATATTTTTTACATCATAGGACGTGCTGGACTTCTTAATTTGACAAGAATTAGATGAATATGAGGATCACAGGCACAGGGGCAGTATGGCAGTATGGCATACAGTATACCAACTTACTGGGAAAATAAGTCCTTGGGAAGGAGCCAGTTCTGGCTTTGGCCCTGCCCTTCTGGGTAGGACACGTGCAGGGTGTGAGGCAGAGCTACCTCACGCCAGAGGTTCAGCGATGCCCTGCCAAGGACTCTATGCTCCAGAGCACTTTAGTTAGGTGACATAGGATTAAGGAGAAGAGCATAATTTGTACAAGGACATGAACAAGGATAGTAGAAAAATAATTTCATTGAAGGATAGAGTGAGAATGTTACTTTACCTTATAACAAGAAAGGCTTGAGGGCAAACTCTGCCAGCCTTCAGGACAGGGTTCATCAGGCTTAGGGGCTGCTTCTTCAGGCTCAAGGGGTCCACTTATTTTCTTGCAAATTGAAAGTGCTCTGAAGCTTCTGCAGTCTTTTACCTCCCATTTTCCAAGAGACTTTCCAGTAGACATAGCCACACAGCCACCTGGGGAAGCTGGGATTGAAGTGGAAAGCTTAAAATGTTAAAGTTCAAACACTTTCTAGTGTTTCTACTCTTTATTTCAGCAATGTTGAGGAGAGAGAATACAAAAAAAAAAAAAAAGGAACACAGAGAGGAGAGAAATGTGTTGTTCAGAATAATAATGACAGGCAGTGTTTATTATTTTTAAAGCACTTTTCTAAAAAGATTAATCCTCAGAACAAACCTATAGGGGAAATTCTATTGTCATAATTTGAGGTACACTGAGAATTAAGTTGTTCTTGACTTGTTCAAGGTCATAGAATTAGGTAAGTGGTTGTCCCAGGATTTGTGCCCAGGTGGTTTATTTCTAGAACTGTACCCTAAACATCACTGCTGTTTAGGATAGTGGTTTGAATTAGCTTAACAACTTTGAGCAGTTTTTAAGCAACTTAGTAAACCTCAAAATACAACTCTCTCAGATTCTGATCCAAAGGAAAAGCTGGTGCAATAAGGTAGAAGGAGGTATGTGATAATATGTATTTGTTTACTATTTATTTGTGACATTCATAATTTTATGTATTCATAACAGTATTAAAAAGTAGTTTTTAATATCAGTTCCATTTTCTAAATGAAGACTAAGTAACTTGCCCATAGTCAGTTAGTGAGTGTTAGAGTCAGGATTGAATCCAGATTTGTCTGGCAAAGGGTCATGTTCCATTTTCCATTATACCACACTGCCCGAAGCAGGCAGAAGACAAGAAGAGTCACGCACATTGAAAAGTAGTAAGGACAACTTCTATCCCACCAAACAGAGAAGCCACATGGTCTCTTATACACAAACAGCAAGAGGAACAAGACACTGGGAAAAATAATTGCCTTGCTACCCTGAATGGGTGTGCTATTTTCCCTGTTCTGTCCCCCTATCGATGTGCCCATGATAGACGAAGTTGGCTGAGGATGGGAGGAATGATGGTAAAGAGAGCTTCATGCAGCCTTTCTGGTAGCTGCTTCTCAAGCACCTCTCCAACCACCAAGACTTAATCATTGACCTTTACTCTAAGATGTCTGAGTGTCTAGAAAAGAAATCTGGCAGGGTGTGGTGGCTCACGCCTGTAATCCCAGCACTTTGGGAGGCTGAGGCAGGTGGATCACCTGAGGTCGGGAGTTCGAGATCAGCCTGGCCAACATGGTGAAACCCCATTTTTACTAAAAATACAAAATTGGCTGGGCATGGTAGTGCATGCCTGTAATCCCAGCTACTCAGGAAGCTGAGGCAGGAGCATCATTTGTACCAGGGAGGCAGAGGGTGCAGTGAGCCAAGACCACACCATTGCACTCCAGCCTAGGTGAGAAGAGCAAAACTCTGTCTCAAAAAAAAAAAAAAAAAAAAGAAGAGAAAATAAATCTATGTGCTTTATCTATCAGAGTGTTCCTAATTTAAGATGAGAGTTAACCAGGATCAACATCTGTATACTCCATCTTCTTCTGTACATAAAAGGCTGACTTTGTTACTGGCAACATCACTCATGTTGATGGTGATGACAATGTGTCATAACTTTTGTGTGCATTTTCTATTTCAAATTTCATGTTCAACTGTAAGCTCATATTTTCTAATCTCTGTGTTATAAAAGATAGTCTTCCTGATCACATTAAAGCAATGCAATAAAATATAAATAATTCAATAGGTGAAAAGTAGAAATCTTTATATTGTTGTCTTATTCAAAGCCACTGGCTTAAAAATCAGGAACTCTAGATTTTATTAATTCAATAACCAGATGATCTTTGTCAAGTAAATCACCCTTTAAAGTCTTTGTTTTCTTAACTCTAAAAGTATTTCTGATGTCTTTTCCAGCTCAGGTATTCTGATTCTATGGCAAATTATGGTCAATGCTTTAGGCTGGTTGGAGAAAGAGGAACTAACTTTCTTTTTTTTTTTTTTTTTTTTTTTTTTGGGGCGGGGTTTTACTCATTTTTTCCCGGCTTGGGTGCAATGGCATGATCTTGGCTCACTGCAACCTCCGCCTCCTGGGTTCAGGCAATTCTCCTGCCTCAGCTTCCTGAGTAGCTGGGATTACAGGCACGCGCCACCATGCCCAGCTAATTTTTTGTAGTTTTAGTAGAGGCGGGGTTTCACCATGTTGACCAGGATGGTCTTGATCTCTTGACCTCGTGATCCACCCGCCTCGGCCTCCCAAAGTGCTGGGATTACAGGCTTGAGCCACCGCGCCCGGCCTGGAACTAACTTTCAAAATAAGTAAGAGGCCAGGCATGGTGGCTCACACTTGTAATCCCAGCACTTTGGGAGACCGAGGCAGATGGATAACTTGAGATCAGGAGATTGAGACCAGCCTGGCCAACACGGTAAAACCCCATTTCTATAAAAATACAAAAACCAGCCAGGTGTGATGGTGTGCACCTATAATCCCAGCTACTTGGGAGGCTGAGGCAGGAGAATCACTTGAACTTGGGAGGCCGAGGTTGCAGTGAGCCAAGATCATACCACTGCATTCCATCCTGGGCAACAAACGAACAAAAACAAAATAAATAATACACACAATATAGCCTCCATAATTCTTACCCATTGAGAATAATGGAAGAAAACACATTGTTTTGAAGAAAGGTTAAGGAGAAGAGAGATGAAAATGTAAAGAGTTTCACATGAGAACTTCTAGATTCTATTTGAGATTTACACAGAAAAGATTTAAAAACTCACACTGGTGGTTCTAGCTCTGAGCCATTAGATGGTGGTTTGGGAGAACTAAGTTTTTGAACTTCTTTCACTGAATTATTCCTGAGGACATAATAAGGAAGACATAGCCACTGCTTCTATTTACGATCCCATAGATAGATTCCAGTCCTAAAGATTATCACGTACCTCACATTTCAAAAGTAAGTGAAGAACATCTTTGGGAGGAATGCTGCCTTTCATTAGTCACAGTATTCTACTACTTTAAAGATGAAGACACACCTGGCTCAAGAAAATTCCAGTTGGAAAAGGTTACAGTCTGCTTTCTTCCACCAACAGTTGCCCAATTATACTGTCCACGAGAATCTACATCTCTCAGGCCAGTCCAGAAGTATTTTCTTCGAGATTTATCATACTTTTTCATCAAATCATTTAGGTATTCTTGCTCAAATCTACAAAAAGAGAATCAAATTGGCAAGTGTTTCACAATGATTGACTCTATTTGAAGATACGCCTTTTTCTTAGGAAGAGTGTTTAGCAGAAGAACTAAGAGTTGAAAGTTTATGAGAACAAGTTTACTGATGGTCACACCTGCTGGTGATAGTCAGATTACAGTTTGTTCCAAAAGGGACCTCATCCTTGTAAATCTTGTAACAGGTTTCTCCATGTCTCTTCCAGCCCTAAATCAGAGGAAAATATTGTCAAACTGTTTTCTGGACTTGATGTGTACCCCTCTGACAAGCATGTTTCTGCTACATTGATAACATCTTAGAACTTGTGGAAACTGAGGACATGGCCATTGAATTCATACATGTGATGAGGGTGGGATGCAATTTCACAGATAACCTCCACAAGACTGTGAGCCTGTGTCAAATAAAAGGCATAGGCTACTTCTCTTTATCCTTGGTGCCTAGCTCATCATAAGAGTATAATATTTGCTGTATGAATTATTTTTTGATATTAATAATATTAGTGGGGAAGTAAAGATATCAGCCTTGAGAATAGTAATCCTAAAAATACTTATAGAAAATTTCAAATAAGTAACTCTTTTTCATCCTGTAAGAATGCCAATATGCTAAGACTTACTGCCTTCTGGCTTGTCCTAACATAAGTGAACAGAACCTAGTAGTTCCTTCTATTTTATGAGTCTGAATTGTTTAAGTCTCAGCTACCATTTCTAACCAAGAAGTTGTAATACTGCTTGGGAAAATTTACACAGGGATTTTACCTACCTCATCTGGAGGACACGTCTTATCAGAATTTGTGTCATTCAGTTTTTCTCCCATTTTCTTACATACATATTTTAGTTTCTCCTCACATGATTGGACTTTCCACTGACCTAGCTTTGAAAGGAGACAAAAAACATTTGCTTGGAAAGGAAATTATTTACCACATATTCAGAACTGAATTCACAAAATCTATGTGTGTGTGTGTGTGTGTGTGTGTGAGAGAGAGAGAGAGAGAGAGAGACGGCGGGGGCAGGGGGAGAGAGCGAGAGAGAGACAAATTATCAAATGTGAGAACACCCTCCTAGAAAATGCTACTCAACAGGCTTGCAAAGTGATGGCTCACAGCCAGTTACCTCAGGATCACCTCAAGGTCACATTGTGGATAAATTTTGTTTTCTTATAAGAGTAACAATAAAATCATCAAAGGACATTTAGTATAGAAGTTGAAGAGAGAAGATTTCAGACCACGGTTGCCAGCATTCTAGTCTTCTTCCCTGTGGCATGGCCAAAGTTGGAAAGTTTTAGGCACATCATTGACCTCCCTTTCTCAGTTTCCTCATGTGTAAAATGTTGATGGTAGTTAGAATAGCTATTCTCCATGAATTCTAGATCAAAAGTTTTCTTCAACTCTACTACAGCCTAGACTTCAAAATTACCTCTTTCAAATATGCTACTTAGCATTAATTTGCTAAATTGAGTAAATCACTTTGCTTTCTTCAAATTAAATTTTAATAAGTTGATTATAATAAGGGTCAGTTTTGAACACTGGAATGCTGTCTAGGTATGTCATCAATTCACCCTTGCCCATGGGAACCCCTTTCCATAATCTGATGTTCTTCTATCATGTTTGATATCCTTTTAAACAGAGCACCAAATGTGACACCTTTCTAAATTTCTTTTAAATACACATAACATTTGTTGTTTCCACTTAAGTCTCTTTAGATGTCTGAGTGATATCATAACCAATTAGGAGTCCACAGGAAAGTGATGCAAATGAAACAAAGAGGTACATATATCTTTTCTGCTCAAGACACAGCCTATTTTGGATTATTAATAAAGGATGTTCAAAAAATGTCTAGGTGGCTGGGCATGGTGGCTCACGCCTGTAATCCCAGCACTTTGGGAGGGGGCAGGCGGATCACGAGGTCAGGAGTTTGAGACCACCCTGACTAGCATGGTGAAACCCTGACTCTACTAAAAACACAAAAATTAGCTGGGTGTGGTGGCACACACTTGTCATCCTAGCTACTCAGGAGGCTGGGGCAGGATAACCACTTGAACTTGGGAGGGGGAGATTCAGTGAGCCAAGATTGTGCCATTGCACTCCAGCCCAGGCAACAGAGTGAGACTCCATATCAAAAAAAAAAAAAAGAAATGTTTAGGCATTCTACAGGAATAAGATGTTCTCTGAAAAAGTTAGGCCTAATTTTTAAATAAAATTATTTTTTCACTTCTCAAAGTAGTATTGATATAAAACAATCTGAACATGAATTTGGAAGATGGGATTCTTCAGGTTAAGTTGTGGCTATCTGCCCAATATCACATTGATGACAGAAAGGTGAGTTGAGGCCCTGGTCCTGAGAGAAAGCAAGTCGCTGGAATCAGTCTGGTGCAAGAATCTGAGTTCTAAAGGGATTCTCTGTATCTGTTTGAGACCAAAAGAGATGCTCTCAGATAGGATGTCGGTTGGTTATTTAGTAATTGCTTTTATTCACCTTTTCAAAGTAGCTACCAGAAAGATAATCTAGACTCTAGATTACTTTTCACCAACCTTTGGCACCAGGGACCAGTTTTGTGGAAGACAATTTTTCCACAGATGGTGGGGAGGAGGATAGTTTTGGGATGAAATTGTTCCACAGGAATGTGCAACCTAGGTGCCTTGCATGTGCAGTTCACAATAGGGTTCACTGTCCTATGAGACTCTAATGCTGCTGCCAATCTGACAGGAGGTGGAGCTCAGGCAGTGATGTTTGCTTGCCCGCTGCTCACCTCCTGCTGTGCCGCCCAGTTCTTAACAGGTAATCGTTTGTAGTCCTGCACCCATGATCTAGAGGGCCCTTACCTTTTATTTTCTTTCCAGGTTATACACAAACATCCCAACCAAAGAAATCTTAATATTATCATTAGGCATAACAGTAAGAACATAAATAAACCAGGGGAGTTTCCTACCTCTCCTAAGTAGGAAACACAGCTGGGCGTCTTATTGTAGGGAATATTTGGCTCATTCTCATCCCAAAATGTGAGAGTAACTTCAGTACCATCTGACCACTGAAATAAAGTTGGTATGTTTATGTTCTTGAGGCCTGTCCATATGTCTTCTTTGGCATCTGAAAGAAAAATGTTTTATTCGTTTGGTTGTGCTCAGTTTCATACTTTAATATGTACATTGTTATACGAATTTTTACATTCAGATATGGAGTTTTAAGAGCCTTTTTAGTATTCTTAAGTTGATTATTAATATGTTGATAAGGCAGGCAGGTTGGGTAATGAAAGCTTTTCAAGTCACTTGTGCAAGTAAAGTACATGGGTAGAATATCTGCAGGCTGGGTGTTCCTGATATCTGGCGTAGATAAACTCTGCTTTATGGGATGAATGAAATTCTATAAGTACAATCATACCTATCCCAATTTGAATAGAAATACTGTCCATTGCTGCCCTTGTAAGACTCTGCTGCCTTCACAAGTGAAACAAGGAGCACCAGGCTGGCACTGAGTAGGTTCCTACTCTTAGCTATTATTAGTGAATTCTAGGAAGAGATTATAATACTGTCAGTCTAGTATATTTTCCTTTACCCGTCTTTAGCTTTCAAATAATTACAAAAGTGAAGTAATTACCACTTAAGTTTTTGGCGCAACTTAAATAAAATTTAGCTCATGAGAAGAGGGAAATCTTTCAATCAGTGGTGGTACTGTCAAATTGGTTGCCACTAGGCACATGTGGCCACTTAATTAAAATGAAGTAAAAGTCCTACAACAGAAAGGCTGAAGCTGGGAAAAACAATAAAAATAAAATGAAGTAAAAGTAATAATTCAGTTCCTTAGTTGCCCTAGCTACCTGTCAAGTGCTCAAAAACTGCATGTGGCTTGTGGCCACCGTACTACACAGCGCCGTTTGTAGAACAGTTCCATCACCATAGACAATCCTATCTGACAGTGCTGACCTGTGAGATCAATCTGTAAGCTTTTCGTTCCCATCAAGAGTCTAAAACCAGGGATGCTTTAAAATGTCTTCAGCCTCTCAAATAGGATATTTTTTAAAACTTACCCTCATTATGGAGTTTTGTGACAACCACCTCCACATCTGCTAGAGAATGAATGCTGATTAAGTCACTACTGAAGGCTTTGCATTTTGTATGTGCCTTATCCCAGGAATTACTTTCATTTACCAGCAGATAGCAAAATCCATTATTTGGCAGCCAGCCTGCATCACAGCGGGTATCTGAGTATGTCCAGACATCTGGGGGAAAAACAGCTATTTATATTCCAGTAAAAATAAATCTATTTTGAATCAATAACACTGCAAATTCTTTTTTCTTGAATAATGAGTCTTCTGGAAAACTGGGGAATGTGATCTCAGACGCTACAGTGACATGAATTTATGTGGTGCCTACCACATAAATGAGGTATACATGGTATCATAGGAATTCCCATTGGGATTCAGAAAATGATGTGACTTTTTAATGTGATATCAATGTGCTATATGGCTGAGCACAGACTATTAAAAGGTTTGGACACAATCAAGGGAGAGATTGCCCTTAGTCCAAGTAGACAGTAGAAAAATGTGTGTTAAGTCAGTTTCTGACAAATCTTTTCCTGGGTATGGAACTTGTTATGTTTCCCTGCAGTCTCTGTCCTTGAGAAGATTATAAGAAGGCAAGCCTCCTTTTCTTGCATGGTCAGCTTAGCAAGAGGATGTAGATTAATGCTCACTGTTGAACAAAGGACAGGCAGAGATTTAAAGGACAGAATAAGACATTTACACACTTTGCATCCAAGAAATGGCAGCAATGGAGGGAAAGGGCAAAGGTTACCCGTGGACTTCTTTCCTCCCCTCTGCTAGACAGATGGTCCTTATGGAATTAGTGATTCTGTTTTGACCATGATAAAGCTCACAAGTGAAGGTCTAATCTTTCCAGATTAGAAAAAAGAATGAAGTATAAACCCCTACAGAATACTTCTACCAGAAAGTGAGTTGGTTACTCAGACTTCACTGATTCAGAACCATTTGGAATATCTGTTGTAAGAAAACACAGCATCTTAAAAATGTGGACAGTTTGTTTTTTTTACTGACAGTTTGTTTTTTAAAGTGATTCAGATTCAGCTAGCCTCTTAGGCTTGCAAGATAACTCAATTAACTTTAATATTCTGAAATAGCATGTATTGTTGTTATATTTTATAATTACGATAAAAGAACAGAGGAAAAATATCACCCATAATGGAACTTAATGCAATCATTTTCATATTCTAATTTGTGTCTCAATGAATACATATTTTTACGAGATTAAAATGATAAGTAGGCATATCATTTGGTTTTGTTCTTTGTATTTTCCTGCTGGCACAGTTATTTTAGTAAATGCATATTATTCAATCATGTGGAAACATCATGATTTACTTAATAATTGCTACTGTGAGATATTTACTTAATCTATCATCAGTTGCTCTAGTTTATTTTCATTTGTGCTGGATTTTCTATTATGCCTTTTGTTGTATGGACTAAATTTTGTTTAAATCAACTTGGAAGATAAATGTTCATTTCCTCTATTATCTTAAAATATCCCCTTACAATCTTTATTCTATATCTAGTTTTTCCTTAAAAATTGCACTATGCTTCTTTTTAGATGACAAGACATTTGGATGATTTATTCCCTTCACTCATAGTTCCTTAAAGCAGGACACTGAAAAATCATCCTTTGTTGGGGATTGGTCATAGTGGTAGGGAAAAGCTATAGGGAAAGGACACAGAGCCCCAGGGGAGCATAGCTGAAGGCAGCTGTTCTATAACTCTGAGGCAGAGGGCAAGGAGTTGGTACAAGGGAATGTAGGGAATTTATCTTAAACAGGCTTGTTTACTTATATTGACTAGGAACTGACCTTTGATCATCCCCGAGTGAAGTTCCCTGAAAGGGGAACAATAAATGCTAATTACCTACAGGTTGTGTTTCCTCCAGATTTTCATCATTGTGCCTGCACTGAATAAAAGCAAGCAGCTCCAGTTTCTCGGGGCTGCTCTCTGGCCACCAAAGCCAGTCAGTCACCTAACTACTCTTACACTGCATACTTGTGTCTGAGTACTCCTTTTATCGGTTGTCGGCCAGGGTCTGCGGGATGGACCCAGCAGGTACTGCCCTGTGTGAGGAGTGCTGCAACAGATTGTGACAAACCCTCAAAAACGAAAGCGAAATGACTGCACAATAAGTAATTGGTGCCCACTGGGGATTTCCAAGTCGAGCGGGTTTTCAAGCTAGGGCTTTATCATGGGACAACAGCTATCAGCTCAACAGCAACAGTATATAAAAGTATTGAAACAGCTGCTTAAAGCTAGTGGAGCCTCGATCTCAAAGGCCCAATTAAGGGACCTAATGCAAACTGTAGTTTTCCATAACCCATGGTTCCCAGAAGAAGGCACACTAGGCCTAGAGCTCTGGGAGCAAGTGGGAAGAAATCTTAAATGACATCATGAACAAGGGCAATGGGTCCCAGCAACAACTTTAACATTACGGGCCTTAGTTAAGGCTGCTTTGGCCCCACTCTACACAAGAGCCAAAAAAGTGAAAGGAGGAAGAACCATCATCTACCTTACCACCTCCTCCTCCTCCCTCAGCCCCGCTGTTATCAACTAAAGGTGCCACAGAGGAGGCAGAGATTTTCCCTGAGCCGCCTCCCACAATAAATTGGAAAAAAGACTGGGACTCTGTCTTAGGCAAGTGACATTAGAAGGGGATGTCTTGGCTTGCCCGGTGATGCAAGGTCAACAAGGTAATCAGGTATATGAACCCATTACTTTCGACACTTATAAAGAGACAACAAAAAGCATTAGAGAATACAGAGCGGCTAGCTCATTTACAAAAAGATTAATTGAGGCCATAGCAGACGGCTTCCATATGACCCCATGGGACTGGTCAGTGCTAGCTAAAACAACTTTAGAGGCCAGTCAATACTTCCTCTGGAGGGCAGAATATGATGAGTTGTGCAAACAACAAACCAATCAGAATCAATCCTTTCCCCTTGATAGGTCTGGCTGTGTCCCCACACAAATCTCACCTTAAATTCCCATGTATTGTAGGAGGGTCCTGGTGAAAGGTAATTGATTCATGGGGGCATGTCTCTCCCATGCTGTTCTCGTGATAGTGAATAAGTTTCACAAGATCTGATGGTTTTATAAGGGGGAGTTTCCCTGCACAAGCTCTCTCTCTTTGCCCACCACCATCCATGGGAGACAGGACTTGCTCATCTTCGCCTTCTGCCATGATTGTGAGGCCTCCCCAGCCATGTGGAACTGTAAGCCCATTAAACCTCTTTTTCTTTCCAGTCTTGGGTATGTCTTTATCAGTAGCATGAAAATGGACTAATACACCCCTCCAGTTTTGAGTATTAGTTTCTCTCACTTGGTGAGGATGTAATTAAATACCAGGTATACATCAGGCCCTATGCTTGACAGTCAAGGCACTCCTCTTCTCCATTCTTTCAAAAACACCTCAAACCTTTCTACTCCTCAAAAACTTCAGTTGTTCTTGTGTCTCTTTCATCCTCAAGCTCCCTGAATAACCCCCCTCATTGTATATATTGTGTCCTTCTGCACCTCTTCTTTTTACTTGATTTTTCGATGCAAAGACCTGCCTGGCAGAGAAGGATAGAAGAAGGCCGGGTGCTGTGGAGCACAGGGTGAAGAAGCCTGGGATTACTCCTGAGTCCATAGGTTTTGCCTCATTATGGAGGCATGCACAGTAGTGGTTCTCAGACTTGACCACGCAGTAGAACCACAGGGAGAGCTTCTTAAAACACAGATTGCTGGCTGGGTGCAATGGCTAATGCCTGTAATACCAGTACTTTGGGATGCCAAGGCGGGAGGATCACAAGGTCAGGAGTTTGAGACCAGCCTGACTAACATGGTGAAACCCTGTCTCTATTAAAAATACAAAAATTAGCCAGGTGTGGTGGTGCATGCCTGTAATCCCAGCTACTCAGGAGGCTAAGGAAGGAGAATCCCTTGAACCCAGGAAGTGAACGTTGCTGTGAGCTGAGACTGTACCACTGCACTCCAGCCTGGGCAACAGAAGGAGACTATATCTCAAAAAAAAACCAAAAAACAAAAAACAAACAAACAAAAAAAACAACACAGATTGCTGGACCCCATCCTGGGAGTTTCTGATGTAGCAAGTCTGGAGTGGGTCCTGAGAGCTTGTATTTCTAACAGGAAGAGGTGATGCTGATGTTCTTGGTCTGGGGACCATCCTTGGAGAACCACTGCTCTGGAGAAAAAAGAGCCACACACGAACAGAAGTATATTTCCTATCTCAAATATCTCTGCCTTCTCCTGGGCACATATTATTATGTAATACATATTATTATTTAATATTCTTCATTACCTCAACCAAAGCTTTATTGATATATGGTTGATAATATCTAACCATAGGGTCAAAAATCAAGTACTTTTCTATACTGTCAGTATCAGGAGAAGGAAAGTTGGAAATGGTTGTCAGAAATGATTTACTTTTTTTTCACAAAACTATGATTTTAAGGCCTATTTGAATGAGTAAGTGAAGACGATACCTGTTAACTCCACTGTATTATTTAATGGTTTCCTGCAGACATAGGGCAGTTGAGCTTCACAGGAAAAGCTCTGCCACAGACCAGACTCGGCATCCATTCTTGCACAGCTGGACCCACCTATGGTAGGTGCACTGGGCCTGTCTTAAAACAGAACATTTTTCAAAGCATTAGAATGAGAAAATTAGGGCCAGGATGGTGGTCAGAAAGAATAATTTATATTCCTAATTTTACGCTTTTATGGGAACTCATAGTATACTTAAAATGTGTAAGCCTCAATAAATAATTATGTGCTCAAATATGTCTTTCTTTTAAAATATAGGATCTAAGGGGAAAACACTATGATATATTATAATTTTAAAAACAAGAACAAAACAAAACGTTTTTTCCCCAAATGACTTCCAGGTCATATTCTATGGTTAGTAGCTCTTAATTTGCTACTTCATAAAGTAAAAATATTAATTTATCATTGTCATGCCATTAAGGCCTTGAGTTAAAGATTATCTTTAAAGATTCTATTTACTGAAATAATAAGAGTATTACTTCATTTACTGATAAGGAAGTTTAGCAACCTAAATTAACTAAAGTGACTAACTCAGTTTTCCCATATGCGTGCAGAGCAGTTTTGTACTGAAATTAGTGTTAACTTTAGGTTCTACATTTGCCTAAGATTTTATTCTATTTTTCAAAGTTGTCTAATCCTTCATTTGGGGAGAACGTCTTTAGGCTCTGCGGCATTTTGTTTGTTTTATTCCCTACAAGACTTTCTTTGAGGTATTTATTGTATTGTAACACACAACCATTATGTTGTCAGTACTTGGGTGCTATAACGGGGAGACCCCAAGAGTTTGAAAACGAGGTGATATTTCATATTAGAGTTAAGCTGCAGATGACATACAGCATGGGTGAGTCATAGACATGCCAAGTCCTTTAGGGACACAGAATGGCTCCTAGGCCATGTGGTGGAACTCATTCTGCTCTTACATAAAAATGGAGGGTGGTTATAGAGGTCTAAAGGTTCAAAGGCTCAGTTGCCCATGGTGTGGTTCAGCTTGGCTATAACAGTACCATAATTAAGAATGGTTTATTATTTTTTAAATTTATTTTCTTAGTGAACAGTTCACAGACAAAGAATGGTTTAGGAAGAAAAAATTATTCTGAGAGGTAACCATAATAGGAGTTGCCAAGATTTTGAAATTTTCTAAGCTATTGGTAAGTGAGAAGCTTTTGCTTTCTTGAAGATTTGTTGGTGCAGAGGGGGTGGGGAAAGAACAGTTACCTGGGTCCCAGTTGAGAAAGTTTAATGGTTTGTGGTCTGACCATTCCCAGCCTCTAGCAGAGTACAGTTGATTTAAACCAATCCAGAAAATTCTAGCAATGCCTTCTTTTTCTGTAAGAATTAAAAAGTGACAAAGTTGCCTAAGTTATTATCTAAATTAGACTTACATTTCTACTAATAACAAACAAATCTGCAGACCTTGATTATAAGGCAGCAATCCCTGTAGGAGGCTATCTATGCATCAAAGGCAGGCAATGCTGATAGACAAGAAACTTCAGACTATTGAGAAACCCAAAGGCTAATAAGTTAATTCAATTCTGCTTTCCTATCAGCTTGTCAAATTCCCTTTCATCTAAGGTAAGAACATAAGCTTCTCAGAGTAGCTGTCTCACTATCTATTTTTAATCCTTTTATTAATATAGAAGACTTATCAAAAGCAGCTTCCATTGTACTTCTAGATTTTGAAGATCTGACTGTATTCCAAAGTGACAATTTAAATTCATTATGCATACACATAATTTGCCAGGTTCTAGGGATATAAAAACCAAAATGAAAAAGTCCCTGCCCTCATGAGAATTTCAATTTAGTAGAAGGATACAGACATGGATCCCTCAAATGATCATGTTTTTCTGGGACTGGGTCAGAAATATGTATAGGAGCTGTTTATGTATATATATGTATGTACAGACTGGAGATACAGAATGAGACACACACACACACACACACACACACACACACTCACTCTACAGTGGAGACAGATCTCTCAAATTTATTACTTGACAACCAGATGCCATCAGCAATTAAGAAAGGTAGAAGGCGGGTGGATCACCTGAGGTCAAGAGTTTGAGACCAGCCTGACCAACATAGTGAAACCCCGTCTCTACTAAAAATACAAAATTTAGCTGAGCATGGTGGCACATGTCTGTAATCTCAGCTACTTGGGAGGCTGAGGCAGGAGAATTGCTTGAACTCGGGAGACAGAGGTTACAGTGAGCCAAGATCATGCCGCTTCTCTCCATCCTGGGCAACCGAGTGAGACTCTGTCTCAAAAAAAAAAAAAAAAAAAAGATAGAAAGCAGATATAATTTAGGTAGTGAGGCCAATTTCTGATATGTGACTCAATGTGCATATGCCCACAAAAAAGTGGATGCAATCAAGCTGGTATGGGTTCATGTATATTGAAAAGGGAATGTGTAAATGATGGTAAGGATTTTCAGTACTGCTTAGGAAGTCATTACTCCTAGATCAATATTTACACATGGTAGTTTTCAGTAAAGGGGTACTTAATAAAAATTTATTTTGATTTGGATACCGTGAGTTTTGGAGGTTAAAACATAGTTTTCTTGGATTTTGGGAAACTAACAGTCATAATTAGGCATATTGGTATGCCTAAGAAGCTTTCATACTGGAAGAGGAACTTGAAACATTCGAAAGAGATATACTTTTAAAATTTATGATATATATTAAATGTGGGGCATGTCTGGCCAGGAGTAGGGTACAATAAGGTCCTTTACCGTGTTACCTTACTTTCATGAGTTATTAAAGAAAACCGATGCATAAAGAATCATGGAACATTTGTTCCTCTAAATGCGTCATTAGATTGTTTGGTAGGATGTTTATTGTCACACTTTGGCACTTTTCTCCTTCATTGAAATCATCAGTTTCCAAATGTTAATATTCTAGGAAACTTAAATTTATTGGCATTTTCCATTCTTGACAATATTTTTTTGTAAGGCTTCAGTGAGGTCTGGAATAGAATTCCAATGCCAAACAGTAGCCCATTTGGCGTATTTGGCAGATTTTCATTCTAAAGATCTGAATATTCACGTGAGAGACAATACAGGAAAAGGGTAAAGCTGTGAGTAAGAAAGGAGGTCTGAATGAAGCTGTAACCAAAAAGAATGACAAAAGACCTGTGGCCTTTTAATGATAAAATGAGATAAAGAAAGATATCTAAGAGGGGTAAGTAGTAGTATAAAAAAGTAAGCTGGGCATGATCCTGTGCTCCTGTAGTCCTAGCTACTTGGAAGACTGAGGTGGGAGGATCGTATGAGCCCAGGAGTTCAAGGTTGTAGTGTGCTCTGATCACACCTGTGAATATCCACTGCACTCCAGCCTGGACAACAGAGTGAGATTCTGTTTCTGTTTCTAATAAATAAATAAATAAATAAATAAATAAGAATTCTGCAATTTTATATGTTGATATTCAAATCCCAATCTGACACTTATTAGCTGTATGATGTTGGGTGTGTTACTTCTAAGTATCAATTTCCTTATCTAGTGATAAAACATTTGTTTAATGAGGTTGTAGTAATGATTAATGGATTTATCTGGAGAAAGCAGGGCTTGTTTATTGCAAGTATTTATCAAATAGTTCCAGTTATTATAAAATAGTGTGACAGGGTCTATCTGAATTAGACAATATTTGTTTGTTTAATATGTAGCAATAAAGCTTTGTGCAAAAGTAAAAACAACCCGTGAGACCCATTTGTGCCTGCAAAGAACTTACAGTCTTATAAAAGGTGAATCCATTTATATATCTGATACAATTTGTTTTCAAACTGACTGTTCAAATTTAGGGTCTGCTAAATACTTGTGGGTGACTTTGGACAAGTTATATTTCCTCTCTGAGCCTCGAATTCCTCATCTGCAAAATGGCATAACAATAATGTCCACCTCATAAGGTAGTTAGGTGGGATTAAATGAGATAATGTATAAAAAGTATACAAAGTAGTCTGTCTGGCACTTCATCATCATATATTACTATTATTTGTCTTTCATCCAAAGATAAATAATCAGGGACTCAGTAACTTAGGTTTCTTGATTTTTAAATATAATAAAATTTCTGTTTACATAGTTTCTTCAAAAGATATAAAAGACTCTGGAAAGTGTTACAGAATTTTACTGAGTACATAAAAGAAGTCCTAAATAAATAGAAAGGCATAAAATTTTCATGGTTGAGAAGACAATATTGAAATATTGAAATAGCAATACCTTTTTTTTTTTTTTTT